CGGAGCGAGTGGACGGAGGTTCCTTGCGCTCCTTCAGCCCAGTTGCCGCGGACCCATTTTATCCCGGGTGCTTTTCTAAACTTACGAGAGTTTTTTCTTTTTCTTGTTTTGTGAGTGATATACGAAGAGACAAATCATGGTGGTGATGCAACTGATTTTTCTGTTTTGATGATTGACATTAGAACAAAACGATATGAATTTATTAAAGTTTTGCATTTTGAAATGAAATCGCACCTTTGCTCTGTTTTATCCGTCGCGCAGAAATAAGCATTCGTGACAACAGCATATAACTGAACGACTCAAAAGAAGTGAAAAAATAGACGGATAATTTTCTTGAAAGTGAAAAGAAGAAGCATTTAAGAACAAGATTTAAAAGAAGCAGAACTTAGGTTGAACACGTGCAGGAAATCAACACCGGCAGACATGGTAAGTACTTTGAACTATTAAATTGCAAGCCTGGGATTTAACAGATAGTGTTATACCGCTATTGTTTGGTATTGAACAATTAAATGCAAACTGTTTATAGCACTTTAATTTTTCCTTTTTCTTTTGCGCTCATACTAATAACTACAATACGAAAATAAGGTTTAACAAGTACATATATTTTTTAGGCCCGTATCCCACGATTCAACCTCCTTATTTGATCTGCAGTTCCACTTCTTCTCTTCGTGTTTTTATTTTACTATATCAGTGCACAAGCGCAAACGAGCTTAACCGTTTTATAACAAGAGACAAGATCTCTCAGAAGTTACCGTTCGTTTTCGGTGTCGAAATTTTGAGCAGGTTTTTTCGTTTTTTTTTTTTTTTTTGTTTTAGTCCTGTTTCCCTCTGCATTCTATCAGCTGTAATTAGGGTTTTAAGATGTTGGGTATAATGCATATTTCGTGTCTATAGTTTGATGATTAATGAGGTATTTTTTTATGAGATATTTGAATGTTAAGGTTTGTTTGGTTTGAGAACTGAATTAAATCTCTTTATTATGTATATATGTGTGTGTGTATGTGTATGTGGGGGGGTATACACATACACTCTTTCACACAGGCGCGTGCACACACACACACACACACACACACACACACACACACACACACACACACACACACACACACACACACACACACACACACACACAACACACAACACAAACAAACAAACAACAAACAATACGCAACACTGCCTATATATGTATAATATATATATATATATATGTGTATGTTACGGATATAAACTATGTATGTATGTATGTATATAACAGTTATATACAAACATACACATAAAAAAATATATGAACATGTATGCGTGTATGTGTACATTTATGTAGATTCATATATCATATGCACACACACACACACACACACACACACACACACACACACACACACACACACACACCACACACACACAACACACACACAACACACACCTACACAAATACATACATACATACACACATACACACATGTATACACACACACACAAAATATGTAATAAACACACCATACATGTGTTATATGTATGTGTTATATGTATATATGCACATTCATCTGCGTCATACACACAAACATTATGTGTGTGCTGTACTGGAACAAACTGCGCCCCTAACTTGTTCAGTGACTGAGCTGAACTATAAAAGTGGTACCGAAACCTCCCGGTAGCGAGAGGCGCAGATAACACCCCTTTTACTCGGTCCAGTTTCAGTAGCTATAAAAAAGAAGAAAAAAAAATAGTGGAACACAAAAGCTGTACTAAACGATGCCTTTTGGAACAGCCTCAAAAAAATCCTTATGACTGGCGTTAAATACCTTGCTTCTGACGTATGAAATGTTTTTTTTTCTGTGTCGAGAATTAAATGTATATGTAAACACACACGCACACCACATACACACACACGCACATACATATTACATGTACACACACACACACACACACACCACACACACACACCACACACACACACACACACACACACACACACACACACACACACACAACACATGACACAAACATGTACACACGCACACAACACACACACACACACACACACACACACACACACACACACACACACACACACACACACACACATATATATATATTTATTATATATATATATATATATATATATATATATATATATTATTTGTATGTATATATATATTTGTGTGTGTGTGTGTGTGTGTGAGTTTGAATCCCGCGCTCACGTGATTATTAATTTTGCGTGTATGGATTGATATTTTCACATTCTCATTCTTGTGCTTGGTCATACAAAGTGCACTTAGACGATTTAATTTCCATTATCCCATTGAACAGAGATCCGATCCCCGCCTTACGACACATCCCACTCACCCATAAATACACACTGAAACTCAGTCTATTATTTTTTAAAAGTCAGTTTACGAACTTTTAGACCTTTTTTTTTACCGAGAATAATTGGGGTTATCGCACCACGTAGATAAACTTTACGCGAACGTAAACCAAAAAATCTGCATCTCAGCGAACAACCAGTTTTTTTTTTTTTTTTTTTTTTTTTTTTTTTTTTTTTTGGCGTGTTGTAAAACTGCAAAAAATCGCGAGGTTTAATTCGGTCTCATACGTCCGTGTTTGTGTACTTGGCGAAGATTGCTGTCGTAAGGGAGTTTTGCCGAGCCGGTTTTGTGGGAACAATGGAGGCAACATTAGCAATGATGATCGTGATGATAATGATGATGAGGAGGAAAAAAACTGTTTCAGGACTTTGTTTGGTGAATGCACGGGAGACGTTGTATTTGTTTATCTGAATTATAATGACCTTGGTAAAACTACAGTTATTTCTATTACTACTATTACTATTTTTACTATTACTTATATTACTACTACTGCTACGAATACTACGAATACTACGATTGGTAAAACTACAATTATTTCTATTACTACTTACTATTTTACTATTACTTATATTACTACTACTACGACTACTACGAACTACTACTGTTACTACTACTGCTAGTACCTTTACTACGACTACTACTACTAGTACGAGTACTACTAAAAGTTTTAGTAGTAGTAATAGTACTACTACTACTACTACTATTACTACTGCTACTACTACTACTACTACTACTACTACTACTACTACTACTACTACTACTGCGAATTGTAATGATGAGGATGATGGTGACAATGATAGTAATTATAATGATAATAATGATGATAATAATGATAATAATAAGATGAATATTAAATGATAATGATAATAATAATGATAATGATAATAAATTGTAATAATGAGAATAATGATAACGATAATCTGCAGTTGCCGGAAACGCCAGATTATTTTTGTAAAAATGTATGAAGAATGACGCATAATAAAGCTGAGTCATTCTGGGTCTTATTCTTTCTAATTCTAATGTTTCTCTTCATTCTCGCTTTTCTTTATTCTCCTTCTTTCTATACTACGTTGTTATTTTCTCCTTCTTTTACTTGTGTATGTAATATCACCTTTGATCCTGCTTCTGCTGTTGTTTCTACGAATACTGTTGCTACTACTACTACTATCATTAATATTATTATTGTTATTGCTGTTACTACTACCATTGTTGTTGGTGTTGTAGTTTCTATTGCTCTGCGTGTGTTGAGGCAGGGGAGAGAGGGAGGAGAGAGAGAGGGAGGGAGAGAAGGGAAGAGAGAGGGAGGGAGAGAGGGGGAGGAGAGAGAGAGAGAGAGGAGGAGAGAGGGAGGAAGGAGGAGAGAGAGAGAGGGAAGGAGGAGGGAGAGAGGAGAGGGAGGAGGAGAGAAGAGAGTGAAGGAGAGGAGAGAGAGAGAGAGAGAGAGAGCGAAAGAGAGAGAGAGAGAGAGGGGGGGGTCGCAGAAAAAAAACAGACCAGCAAACAAACAGACTGAAACTATGCGTTCGAGCACAGACATGTGACCAATCAGACAGGTAAACAAACACAAATTTCCTCACTTGTATTCAGCATTTATCACATTCACTGACATCCACCAATCATCTTCCTTTCTTTAGTTAACCCGCATTCATCTCGCTTCTAAAACAACAACAACAACAACAACAACATCAACCCTTCATAAGTTCTCCAGCCTTTGTGTTCAAACCAGAACGGACTCTACTTGTTATTGTTTGTTCTTGTTCTTGTTCATTAAGATCTAATCGCGTGTTATTGACCTTTCTGTCCTTCGTTGACTTTGATTTTACGGTTTATATGCATTCTTCACTATCTTGACACTAAGGTTGGCTCATATAAGCTATCGAATTCTCTCTTATTGCTGTTTAATGGTTCTTAGGAAAAAAAAAGACTTGGAATCCATTCATTTATGAGTTTGTAAGTCGTTCTTGTCGTTGTACATATGTTACGTCACTCTAAGAGTATAAGGGCAAGTAAATTCACTGATTAAGATATCATAAAGTACTATATAATGCGTAGTTTAGGTTAGTATTTTATTTAAAACCCTGACGAACTGCACAGACGCGGGCAAGCTGTGGTGCACTTGGGGTATGGTCCCTGCCTTTTAAAATTGCATTACGCTAGGAATTTATTCATTATTATCATCTGTATGATATCTATTAATAGGAAAGAAATGATCGTTTTTTTTTTAAATACTCGTCTACCACGCCTTCATACAGCTTCGGCGTGAAAAGGTATTGAAGTATGGAAACAAGGTGAAGAATGCCGCAAATTTTACTTGTAGTATTGCACGTGTACTATTTTTACGAGAAACATGGGTCTGAATGTGCGTGTCTGTGTGTTTATTTGTATATGAGAGAGATGGAGATGGAGATAGAGGGAGAGGGCGAAGGAGGGAGGGAGGAAGTAAGCCGAAGGGAGAGCGTGGGAGCCACAAGAGAGAAGAAAAGAGGAGAGAGAGAGAGAGAGAGAGAGAGAGAGAGAAGAGAGAGAGAGAGAGGGAGAGAGAGAGAGAAGAGAGGAGAGCCGAGAGACAGAGAGAGACAGAGACAGAGGCTGAGAAAGAAAGAAAGAAAGAGAGAGAGAGATAGAAAGAGAGAGAGAGACACACACAGAGAAAAAAGTATATATCTCTGAGCGTCTATGTAAGCACATGTACGCGTGTTGATGTGCGTGTGTGGGACCGTGTGCGTGCGTGTGATCCGAGCGAGATTCGAATCACCTCATTGAACAGCGACATAAAATTTGCCGAACAAGGATTCGTTCTGGAATGTTGTCCTCTCGGTGTTCACATTTTTTTTTCATGCTAAACGAACAGCTAATGACATACCTGTCTGAAGAAACCGACCGGGACCCCGCTACAGTGAACCCACGATCCAGAAACGCCAGAAAACTCAAAATAACTCGAAAGAAAATTGCTCGATAAGAATTCGAATTCGATGGAGGACAGATTAAGAAAAAAAAAGAATCTAAATAAAAAAGATAAAGATCCCTAACGATGATGTGAGTCAGGTGTCTCTATGACGG